TCGTCCAGCGATAACATGACCAAAAATTTTGGATCATCCGTGTTTGAGACTGGTAATTCTGGAAATTGGTCTAACGGGATCGGATTTGGTTTTTTTCTTTTCTTTTTAATCATTGGAGATAATAGGGAAAACCTATTATCCCCTAATTTGGTGGTCCCAGGGGCCATAGTAAACGCGAATTTTAGTTTAACAAATTAAGAAATTAAKTGATTGAAAAGATATAAAACAATAAAAAATTAATTCACAAACAAAGCACGAGCGTAATATAAACGCAGAACAAACCGTTATACCGTTTTAACAAACTMAAWAARYRAAGAGCGAAAAGCAACCGGTTACGATGACAGTTCGACGGCATGGATAATATGATACGAAACTTTAGCATTGGCTCTCTTTTTCTCTCAAACGCGTTCCCTGATTATTTGACAGCGATGAAGATCAGGGAATTTCTGACAATTGATTTCAGAAAAGGCGGGATGCCAGAAGGAAACCGCTATAATTACCTGACAAAATTAGCGTGTAATGAAATTTCATTGAACTGTGCGAACATATTTTGGCAAAATAAATGTTTATGTAAATTAATTAATGATTTTGCTTTTTAGCATTTATATATGTATGCATTTTCAAAGTGTTTAATTTAGTGTTTTGTATAATTTATTAAACACCCAATCTAATATTTTTCAGCAGTGGCATCAATGACAAATGTTATAAAAAATGCGAGTTTTGACAGCTCTCTCTCGAATCAAAGAGTTTCGTATCATATTATCCATGTCGACGGTGAATGGTTTTAAAATATAAATTAAACAAATTAACAGGAGCTCGAAATTACGCAGCTGAACACGAGAGATGCCATTTTGTATGAAGTTTTTACATTTCTTGAGAGCTGGATACTAAGCTTTAAAAAGAAAAAATCATCTTACATATCAAGTAATATCACACTAAAAATCAGTTAGAGAATGTAAATACTTGCATTTCATAATATCTATTAACGTCAAACTTTAAAATTTATATGTAGCTTAAATGCTAACACAACACTCTGATTACAATGCAAGTAGCAACAAAAAGTGTTACACAACACCCTAGGATTTTCTAGAGTTGAGTATATGTAATAAACAATTAAATGGTTTTTTGCTGTATATACTGAGCATTGTATAACTTTACAAGTAACAAAAGAATCAGCTGGTTTCCAATAATTTTTCACAGCTGAGATCACCTGATCGAAATCTCCCTTTTTTAAGCACAGAGATGTAATTAAAAGAAATGTAGTAGATCAACTTTTTTGTGAAAAATGTATTTATATAAAAATATGTATTTATATATATTAATATATAAATAGATATTTATATTTAGTAGAATTTCGGCTTTGCTGATAAGTAAGCATGTTCAATGATATTTGATGGTTATTTACAATGTGTGGACTGTGTATGGATATGTGTGGCAACTACGCCATGCCAGCCCACAGCTGATTTTGCTAACAGCACCCATTTGCCATCTCTCTCCAATGACCGGCACTCACCAGCCATTACGCGGCGTATCGACTCAATGAGTCGGCCATTACGACCATTGTAGAACCCTACAAGTAACAAAAGAATCAGCTATTTTCCAAGAATTTTTCACAGCTGAGATCACCTGATCAAAATCTGCATTTTTTAGGCACAGAGATGTAATTAAAAGAAATGTAGTAGATCAACTTTTTTGTGAAAAAGTATTTGTAACGGAAAACATTAATGAAAAATTTCAAGAATATTTTTGAAACAAAAGTTTATTGGATATTTATTGCTCTTCCTCACCACCTCTGAGGCTGCAATGTATGCGCGCTACCGATCTTTTTTGGGTGTTCGGTTCCCCAGGAGGCCTATTTTCACCCTTTTTATATATACAGTTTTAAATCAATCTACTTATTATAAAAAATATGACTAGACAAAAATAAATATGTATATGTATAAAGTCAGGTACAATTCATGAATATTAATTACATTAAAAATATAACTGGAAACTATTTAATCAAAAACCAAAATTAATATAAACACATCGGGTACAATTCCATTGTAAAGATTAACAAAACAAGTCATAACAATTGTGTTAATTTTAACAAACATTAATATAAAAAATCAGGTACAATTCAGGAACAACAACAATAATATTCAAAACAATCTACTAAGTAATAAAAAATATTTACAAAATATTCTAAATAACCCACAGCGAAATACTTTTTAAAAACTCTATCAAAAAATAGTGGTGGAAAGAAGGGTCCTACACATGGTATACGAAAACACTTAAAAAACCAAAAAATATTGATAATAAGCGTACAAACCTAATCGCTATAATTCTCATTTCAAAATCACTGATCAAGGTAAGTATGGAAATAAATATTTTTTTATAAAATTGGAAATATTTAATAATATATTGATACAATAATTAATATTTTGGACAAGACTGATTAAATTTAATACTTAGGAATTTAAATAATCGAAAAATATTTGAATATTTTATAAAAATATTGTTAAAGTTATAAATTTTAAAACCTAAGTGCCTAATTTGTAGTAGAATATTTAGGGGCAACTCGTACCAAGTGATTAATTTGTAGTAGATTTTTGCGTATGGGTTAGTGAACAATGAAGAATTGGTTACTTGTAAGTTTATACAATGGCCATATCTCTATCTATGCTTGGGGAGTAGCCATTGATAAAATTATCTATGGTGTAGATTAAGTACTGTGAATGGTCACTTTCGCTACTCCCTTGTAGCAGATAACTTGTTACGAGACTCTTTGGTTCGAGAGAGAGCTGTCAAAACTCGCATTTTTTATAACATTTGCCAATGATGCCACTGCTGAAAAATAGTACCTAGGGTATTTAATAAATTATACAAAACACTAAACTAAGCACTTTGAAAATGCATACATATATAAATGCTAAAATGAAAAAACATTAATTAATTTACATAAACATTTATTTTGCCAAAATATGTTAGCACAGTTCAATGAAATTTCATTTCACACTAATTTCGTCAAGTAATTATAGCGCTGCTCTTCTGGCATCCCGCCTTTTCCACTAACTGCTGGTTGAAGGCACCCTGATTGTCTTTTGTTGCCAGCTCAGTGAACAGATCAGGGTGCCCTGCCAGCTGACAAGTGAGAGAACAAGAAAAGGGTTCTGATGAAGTTATCTATGCTATCTATGCTTGTAGCATGTCCCAAATGACGTGAATTTGTTATGAATATTTAAGTTGTTTTTCTTTTTTTTTTAATGCAGAGATTTACTAAATGTTGGGCGTATTATAACATTTACTGCCGTAAGTATAGTCAACAAATAAATGTTAATATGAAGTACTTAAATGTAGCCGAGAAAAACGATGCTGCAAAAACAATCGCCGGCCTCTTGTCGAATGGAACCTCCACTAGAGTAAGCATATTGAAATAAGACACTAATGCAAAAATAGGTAATCATATATTTCTAGCGGGAAGGCTATTCTGTTTATAACAAAATATATGATTTCGAAACGGAAGTAGGTGGGCGAAAGAGTAAAATGGTAATGACCTCGGTATCTGGTCATCTGTTGCAATTAGAATTTGTTGGAATATATCGTCGATGGAAGGAAGTAGATCCTCAAGTGTTATTTACAGCACCAGTACAAAAAACATGCAAAGAAAATTTCAAACCAATTCTAAGAACATTAGAAAGAGAAGTCCGCAGCTGTAATGGACTCATAATTTGGACAGATTGTGATAGGGAAGGAGAAAATATAGGATATGAAATAATAGACGTTTGTCGCAAGGTGAAACCAAGCATTAAAGTGTACAGAGCAGTTTTCTCAGAGATTACCAAAGCTTCTGTTCGACGTGCTCTTCGCGAATTAAAAGAACCTAATAAGAGATTAAGCGACGCTGTGGATGTAAGAACGGAACTTGATCTTAGAACAGGGGCAGCAATAACAAGATTTCAGACTATGAGATTACAACGTTTATTCCCAGAAAAAATTGCTGATAACCTAATCTCTTATGGGAGTTGTCAGATACCTACGTTAGGCTTTGTCGTGGAGAGGTATAAGGAAATAGAAGCATTCGTTTCAGAACCATTTTGGAAATTAAAAGGTAAATGCAAATATAAGATAATATTTATAATATTTACGTGTTATAAAAACTGTAACCAAATTGACAAGTGGATCTTCTGAATAATAATTTTAATAGTTGGTATGAAATATAACGAACAAAATGTTTTTTTTAAATAGTTTTACATACGATCGGGGACCTCACAGTAGACTTCCTTTGGGCGCGAAATAGATTGTTTGATAAAGCTGCTTGTGAAGATTACCTCTTACTTTGTTTAGCTGATCCGAAAGCGAAAGTTATAGATGTAATAACTAAAATTAAACATAAATGGCGACCGACTCCATTAGATACTGTAGAGATGGAAAAACTGAGTTCGCGTAAACTTAAAATTTCAGCTAAAGAAACAATGACTATAGCAGAAAAATTGTATTCCAAGGGTATAATCAGTTATCCACGCACTGAAACTAATCAATTTTCAAAGGATATAGATTTAAGGTATGTATTAAAATTTTCTTCTTATGCCTATATGTGTCTATATTTTTTATAGTTCTTTGATAGAACAACTTACTGCACATCCAGACTGGGGAACATTTGCACAACGTGTAAACGAATGGGGGGCTAATCCACGAAATGGAAACAAGAGTGATCAGGCTCATCCACCGATTCATCCTACAAAGCTGGTAACAGGTTAGTTTCTAGAATATGCATTAGAATCTAATGTTTCCAATATTTTAAATTAACAACCTACAAAATAAATTGATCTAAATTTAAGGGTTAAATTGATTAGGCGCATATCCCGTTATTCTCACTTTACTAATGCTATTTTAGATATTATGAAATATGATATCAGCAAATTATAATTATTTTTAAACTTATTTATTATTTTAACTTGTAATAAGATCTGTTAAATATGTATGTACTTATTGAGTCGAAGTTAACTTTTATAAATGTAAGTTGTCTCGAAGTATTACCATGGTTTAATTCATATATTTTCTCTAGTTTGTCAGCAATAAAATGTAAGCCATAAATATGCATTATGCTAACATATAAAGATAAAATGTACAATTAAAAATACAAAGTATAAAATGTTCAACTTTTTTTCAGATCTGCACGGTAATGATGCACGAGTATACGAGTTAATATGTAGACATTTTCTGGCTTGTGTTAGTAAAGATGCAGTTGGTTCGGAAACCGTCGTTAATATCAGTGTAGCCGGTGAAATGTTTACTGCGACTGGTCTCTGCATTCACGAACGAAACTATTTAGACGTATTTATTTACGAAAAATGGAATGCAAAACAAATACACAAATATGAACGAGGTAACTTTTTTAGATAAGGAGACAGATTAATTTGATAACTTTCAACACAGGACAATTATTTGAACCCACTGAAATATCAGTGCAAGAAGGAGCCACTACTGCTCCTCCACTTTTAACGGAGGCTGATTTAATTGGTTTAATGGAAAAACATGGCATTGGAACCGATGCCACTCATGCTGAACATATAAATACAATCAAGGAAAGAGGTGCCAAGACCAAATAAAGTTCGGTACATTAAATTTTAATGTATTTTATTTCTTTTGTGCATGAATATTTATATGTACATTTAGGATACATTGGTGTGGTAGACAAAGGGTTTCTTGTTCCCGGTGTAATAGGAATGGGTTTATATGAAGGATATGATGCCATGAATTTAACATTAGCTAAACCCATGTTAAGAGYAGAGTTTGAGTCAGACTTAAAAGATGTTTGCACAGGAAAAAAGGAACCTAAGGTGGTGTTAGATGAACAAATTCAAAAATATCTCGAAGCATACACACAAATAACAGAAAAAATTACGTCTATGGACAATAAAATTGCCTTGCGGTATTTTTATGAAAGTATTAGCCAGTATTTCATTATATAACTTCAATTGTATTTCTTTAAAGATTAAATGAAAATCCTACAACAAATGACAATCGGAAGGATAATTACGATATTACGAATAAATCCATAACAGAATTGTTTCAATGTCCGAAATGTTCCGTGGCTCCGTTGACTTTGCGGCAGAAGAAAAGTAATAAGGCATATTTCATTGGCTGTATGAACTTTCCTGATTGTAAGAATGCCATTTGGTTGCCAGAAGAATGTGTAGAACCAAGAATTTTACCAGAAAGTTGTCAGCGTTGTGGACCAAATGTAAAACTGATTAAATTTAAATTTAATTCTTTGTACTATAAAAATATATTTAATACACCTACTGGTTGGTATACTTCATGTTTCCGCTGTGACCAACATCTCCGTGATTTGTTTAATATTAATCTAGAACAAGTGAAGAGTACTGGTGGCATTGTTGGAATTATTAATAATCCTATAACACCTGCGGGTGCAGTACCATTGGTCTCTCCTAGAAATCTAAATATCAATAGAGTATCAGAAAGTTCAGTAAATATTCTGAAGAAGAGAAATATGAGTAAACCAAAAATAGTACCTGGAACTAAAAAAGACTCAAAAAATAAAAAAACGAAAATACAAAGTACACATAAAAACATTCGTACGTTTTTTACATCCGGTAAATATAAATATATAATAATGATTGAACTTTCCATAATTCGCTCATTTTATTTTCCAGCATTAAATAATGAACATTCAAAAAGTCTTGAACGACTTGATAATGCAGCAGTTAGTGATGCGGTTTTGGATGAGTTTTTTGAAAGTGATAATGATTTCGATGAAATTATATCTAAAGTTGATATTCAAAATGAAAATAGAGCTGATGTGCAGGCTGCCCGCATTGATAGCTTGCTTACCGAAAAAGGAGATTATGTTTCCACAGAAAACTATGCGACTGCAACACGTTATGTAAATAACATTGATTTAAATTTTGACAGCGATATTCCTGATTTACAAGATTTTTCATGGGGAACGGGCCAGTATAAACGAAGCACAATGAACAAATGCTCAGGATGTAATCAAAAAGCCAAACAGTGAGTATCGTGTAATATAACCAATAAATATAATTTAAGGAGGAAATACTTAAAATTTTGAAAAATCATATTTTTCTTTATAAAATGCTAGTTTGATCCGTTAAGAATATGTATGTCACAAAAATTTTGGAGTGTAATTTCCAGAATTTATTTTTTGGGTTTGATGGCTGACACAGATATAGTAATACTCTATTTAGTCACCTTTTTGTAGTGACAGCTACGAAAGAGCGGCACGCCGGTAACTAAATGAAGCATGACTGTTAAATTCTCTTATATTTGTTATAAAAAATATTTGTTGAACGAGATCGATAAATTAAAAACAGAAAAATAGTGCATATCTTTAAGAGCTCGAGAAAGTTTTGTTATGTCGATGTGGTCGCGGAAGTATATACTCAGTTAAACCTTAAATTTTTATACGGTGTTACAACGCTCATTGGGTATTCTTCTAGTAAAGTCATTTATTTAATAATAGAAAGTAGTTATTGGAAATATCGACAAAGTACTGAAGAATATAATACCTGATATTAAAAGGCAGAATGGCAAACGAATCACCAAGGCTCTACGGAGGATATGGATGTAGAATCAATTAAAGAATTCCTTTGATTTTAGAAGAATCTTTTTGGTGAGAAATTCTATAATTACATTGGCGTTGGAGATTCAAGAACACCCAAAGAAATTCTTAATGTAAATCCGTATAGTGACAAATTTTGTTACTGTTAAATGTTAACATCCTCTAGGAGATGAAAAAGGTGTACTGGTCCACTATTGTCATTTGCAGAACTCATACGGCAGTAGTCGTCCACATCATCAGTACTATCCGTCTGGTCTCGACTGTTGATGTTAGAGTAAGAAGATTTTCAACACCCTGCACCCCTACATCCGGAGATCCAAAAGTATGTGAAGCTAATATTTGAAAATTTATTCGGAGATTAATTGCTTGAAATATTATTTGATGGTCAAATGGAAGTTTCACTCGACCGTTGGACGTCTCGCTCTAAATATCTACATTCGTGTTGAAAAATAATGGAAATAGTGTCATAAGTTTGGCAAGTAATGAAAAGTTCAGATGTAATAGTTGACCAACAATGCAAATCGTTTGCCGATAGAATGATTGAGCATAGAATGACGACAGAAAATTGATAAAGCTCATTAGCTACTAAAGAAGCTCGTGAAGCACATCAACAACAACTTGCTGAGAAAAATTACTTCTACGAACCTACCGAAAGACCAGTCAGTATACGGCATTGGAATCGCTGATTAATTAGTAAGTCACTAATCATTCAATTTTTCCGTATTTGAACTTTAAACGCGTGGTTTTTTTAAACCATATTTTTAGATCGGGGCAGATAACTCAAAAAGTTATTAATCGATATTTCTGATTTTTTGCTCATGTCATCTTAAAGTATTATTTCCCATGTAAACCAACATTTCTTTTTTAATTTGTTTAAAAAATCTTTTTTCAAGCAAAAGCTGTGCAAAAATTCGATAAATAACTAATTTTTTTCGATAATTTTATTTTACGGAAGAAAATTTGTTTCACTTATTTTGGTTCATCTGGAAAATATGACATTAATAAATAAATAAAAATTGCTTATTCCTTTTCAGATCAATAAAACCGAAGATATCAGATTGAGGCGTCTCATTGCGACTTTTCCGGAAGAAGTTAGTGTGCAGCCACCATTTTCTACAATTAAAAAAAAACAAAAATGTTTTAATGTTTAAATCACATGCTAATTTTCAAAAATATAAAATGCCGCCTTCATTAAAAAACAATTGATGGAAATTAAACGAAGTTTGCGTATTTACTTTCTCCTCCCTTAATAAAAAAAAAATTAATAAATTACTCACCAAACTTATTTTTCTACACTACTATAAAACTATTTTTGTGCACTTTCTATGATTTTTAAATATTACAATTAATTTTGTATTTATTTTATTTTAGATGTACTGTTAGAAAAGAAGGACCAAATAAGGGCAAGTTGTTTTACGTATGTCCCAAAGCAAAACCATGCAATTTTTTTCAATGGGATGACGACGTTGACGTTACAAGAAATACGGGCCTTCATGTAGATTCACTAACGAAGTGTCCTTTACAAACCGAAAGCATCAAATGCAGTTGCGGAATTGCAGCTAGCTCGTATGTATCTTTTAAAATTATATCTTTGTAGAATAATTAATTATTTATTTCTCAACTGTTCGGGTGTAACCGAACATATTACAATCTCGTAACTTGCAAGGCCGGAGAAATACCTTCAGATGTTGGCGAAAAATCATATAAGGTAGTTAATAAAGGGCAATAAATTAAGGTGCAAAATTTCACCCAGAGGATCAGAATCTCAACATAGTCCTGTCATTATAGTAAGTTCACCTCAGAATTCGAGATACCCAGCTGTAAGTCTGTAAATACTTGTATATTGACACCCTAAAAGTTGTCTCAAAACCTACATGTGGTAGGGTGTACGTAACTATTAAATTTCAAAGTCAATGGTCACAAAAATCGGTTCTGTGTAATATTGTATAATACATAATTCGCTACAAATTTTGTTTGAAACCATTTTTCATACGGTGAACCGTTTTCGAGATAGAGGGCGGAGAGCGCGCGGTCACAGCATCATTTCAGGTCAACCGATGATAAACTGTCGATAAATAAATGACTATAAATATTTGTAAATTTTTATTAACTATTATATTATATTTTATCATTTTTTCCTAACCTATCCACTTTTTATTCAGTATTAATTTATTTAACAACACTTACCTGCCCATGTAATGCAGAATTGTTAATGAAAATATAGGAATTATATTTGAAATTAAACTTAATTAATATTAATAACTTAGATGATAAAAAAAAATAAATTAATTATGAATTTATCTTTTTATTAAAAAATATCATTCAATGTAGGTTTTGAGACAACTTTTAGGGTGTCAATATACAAGTATTTACAGACTTACAGCTGGGTATCTCGGATTCCGAGATTCTTACGTAATTTAAGCTTAAATGACTGGCCTTATAACTTTATATATACGTATAACTCATACACTGACCGCAAAATTCGGCATAAGATTTGTCCGAAAAACGAAAATCATTATAATTTTCATTAAGCTACCTCACAAACAATCACTAATCACATGGAGTAAGGTCAACCGGATGTTCGAAAATTCTGGTAAATGTTATATGTTTTCGCCAAATTGTATCTGTTTTGGGCACAAATATATACAGTTTTAAGTTAAACATGTTCTGTAACTTTCATTGAGATAACTCAAATATTGGCCGATATATCAAGCATAGTCACCTGGAAGTTCGAAAATCTTTATATTAGGTATATGAAAAATCTTTTCTTGAATCTTTCATTCTAATTTTTATTTTGTATTTTTCATGTATTGCAGCATATTGTTTATGCTGCTTGATATGGGGTTGTTGGGTATGTTCAAGTGTACAAGTTAATACATGTGTGTTTAATGATATCTTATCTGTAAATTTATGACTTATGTATGTCCCCTGGCATTTTTATTTTCATAGGACGCCCATTGCATGTAAATGCACGTGGCTGGTTATGTATATATGTATAAAAATAGATATTTATTTTTAATAGTTGGGGTACTCACAACGTGTCATAAAGCATCGTAAAATCATAAAATCATCAATTTTTTACTAGTTTAAAAAATTTGTTGTTGGATTGCATACTTAAATACGTTTACGCAAATACAACTCTGAACGCTATGTTTTCGAATCGTTATAAGTTATAACTTTATGAGACTATGTGAAACCCCTAAGTATTTCGGCTTTGTTATGTATAAGTAATAGCAGAAACAGCCAATTTCGCGCATCCCTTCCTCAGTTGCCGACCGTAGCGAGCGAAATTTGTCCAAAGTTGAGCCCGTAGAAATCAGCCATCTTTTTTGTTTTCAGTTGAACAATGTTACCATTGCTCAATACGCATATATAATTTTGTACACATCTAAGGTTTCAATTACAATTTTTCATAATATAAAATATGAAAACTTAAAACAAACTGTTAAAAATTATTTATAGATATAAATAATAGTATTCGACTTTGATTTTGAGTTAGTTTAAGAAAATTTCAAACATATTGAAGACAATTTTTATAATTACTACAGTATATCGAGACTGGTAACCCTGCGTTGTGAGAGAGCAATGAGCCGACTCGTTTCTACGGATAAATCCAAATACCGTGGAAATCTACGGTATCGTACGGTAAAGCGGGCGGTAGAAGCGGTGTCGGCTGATCATTTACATTGCGCTATAAGATATAATATGTAGGAATGTTCAATGATATTTGAACATATGCCAAGGAAAAGAATTATTTAAAAAAATTAGTGGACTGTGTGTTTTCATGATCTTAAACCGTCCTTTGGTAATTGATGTAAATGCTTGATATAAATCCTTTGGGGCAAATATTTTTTTTTATCATTTTGGGTACCAATTCAGTTGGTCTTTCCTCCGTTATTGAAGGTTTATGAAGTTCTTCAAGTGATTCTTCTCCAACTTCATTTCCTTTTTTGTCTTCCTCTATTACATCTGCTGTTTCTTCTTCAGCAGAAGATAGATATATACAAGATAGATAAAAGATAGGAGCTTTTGTAATTTTTTTTAAATCCGAGTCAAATCGGTAAAAAAATTTCTGGTTCTTTTCTAAAATGTCAATGTGTTTTTACCTAATACCTGTCTATAAAACCTGTCTATGAAAAACTTCACGGTGCTTTCTATTGCTAGAAGCGCATAGATCAATACAATGCTTTGATCAGCGCCCCAAAGCATAAATGCATTTTGCACTTAATTTTTGGTTCCAATTGGTTCGGGTGGATAGGGAAACTCTAGTCACCTTGGTCGGGTTCGAGGCCCATCTAAAAATTTGACTTCCAGCAGAATATTATAGCACTTATCTGATTTAGACCATGTTGACATCAAAACATGGTCTCTAAAGCCTGACATAGTGCATATGGCTTTTAGTCGCCTCTTACGACAGGTATGCCTTGCCGCGGGTATATTTGGTGTCCCTTCGAACCCGAAGGGGTCTCCCCTACCCGCAGGGGGAGGTTCTTTTCTAAAGTAAAATCTTCTAACATCACGCTGAAGGGAACTATAAGTTATTTCGGGCTCTCCTTTACTAAGTTTAAGATTCTCGAAATCCGCCGTTATTTCAAAGTACAATTTCTCAACTTCAAGAGAAGTTTTGTAAAGTACTTTGTGTGAAAATTGTGCATTTGAAGAAACAAATTTCAAAAGTTTTATGTCATCACTTTTTATTGTAATGATTTTGTGGAGTCATCCATTACTTTTCTGAGAAGTTGTATTTATTTTTATTCGATTGTTTTGTCATATCATTCCGCAATGGCTTTGCTGGAAAAGTGTTGGACGTGTGCAGCACCGTTTCGGATACATCCGCTTGGACATCAAGCATTCTCTTTCTGTTTATACCCATGATTTTTTTTTGCAACACTTTTCGTTTTTATTAATCAACTGCTTGGTATTCTCCAAAGAAATCGTTGGAGGTATATTGATTTGGTCGCCTAGTTGACCTTGCTGTGCCTCGACTCACACTCGCTCAATATTTCTTGGATGGCATGTAAATGCATGCTGCTGTACATACGTATGAAAATAGATATACGTACATATATTTTTAATAGTATTTCGGCTTTGCTGATAATGCAAGCATGTTCAATGATGAATGTTAACAATTTACACAAAAAAAAAAACTGTTATCCGTTATAAATAAGCAAAAAAAAATTTTTTTCGCGAATACCTATAAAATCAAAAGTTTTGACTTTTGTAAAAGTATAATATTTAGAGACGAAAGAAAATATAACCATTTTTAATCGGATGATCTTTGTATGGTCTGGCCGAAACCAAATGAAGAATTAAATATCTAAAACGTCAGAGCAACTGATGATTCCGCTATGGTATGGGGTTGCATGTCAGCTCAGGGAGTCGGGAAATTTTTATAGACGATACAACGGATAAGCATCCTTATTTATCCATTCTTAATTTACATTCCAGTGCTGAAAAATTGGGCATATCAAAATTTGAGTTTTTATTTCAACACGAAATAGACAGCCCACGACGTTAAAATGTGAATTCTGTTCAACACAAAACATAGGTCAATGCCCCGACATTAATCCATTTAAAAATCTTGGGACCTATCTAGAAAATAAAGTATGTAATCACCAAATTTCATCAAAAAGTATACTCAAAGGAGTTTCAAAAGAAGAACCCCGACTTTTGCCAAAAATTGCTAGAATTAATGCTAAGACGTTTGGAAGCTGTCTGTAAAAATACGACTACTACTGAAAAGCAAAATACTTTGTGATAGAAAACCTTTTTACCTTTTTACTTGACAAAATATATTCACAAAATTTAGCACGGATTTTTGTCCCAAGCAACGGTGCAAACTGCGGAAGAATCATTAATGCTCACATTTACTAGTCTCTCGGCTTTTTAATAATAAACTTTTTAATTATGAAAAATAAAATCGAAATCTGAAAGTTTACCTTTGTCGTTTGCAAATCACGATGATTGTCAACTAAATATGCACGTCCAGGGTTAAAAGCATTATTCACCATTTAAACAATTATCAAATAAGTCCTTGTCTATTGAAACACCATAATTATCCACAAAATCCAATTATGCATGTTAACTCTTATTCTTGAAACTTGTTTATTGGATTTTCCTATTTTAACATGGTAATATTTCGATACGATTGCTTATCGTACAAACTGTAGTCTTTCTAACTTTAGGACTCCCTATTAAATTACAAATGACAGTGAATATACAATAAATGCTGGAATATATATATATATATATATATATAATATATTAATAACAGGATTTTTATATATCCCGAATAATAGGGTTTTTTACCTGCATTTTTATCTGGGATATACATCCGACTCGAAGTACCAAAAAAGTTTAAAACTCAATATATTTATATGTGTGCGGATACGAAAACAAAATAGAATCGATGATAAATTGAAACAATTAACTAGACAACTATATTCGTAGTTGCTAGATTGTTCGAGTGGCGAAGTTTTGGTAACGATCTAGTTTACTACTGCCGTGTAAAGAGCATTTGAGATATAAGTAAAATTAATAAGAGAATGATTAATAAAGTGTTATGT